TCTACACATTTCTTCTTTCAATGCATTAGATGATGGTTTAGAAATTAATATAAATATTTTAAGTATAAATGTTAATATTAACAAGGAACAAGAAAGGGAAAACCCGAGAGAAGCATCGATTGCAAGCGTCTGCATGCAGCGCTCGAGTGCGCCAGCAGCGATCGTATTGAGGTGTATGTACACCCAAACTACAAGCTCCCTTTGAAATGAAATTTTGTTATATTTAATTCGAAACATTTCAATAGTTTGAAATAGAACAACTCAACAGCAGCAGCACAACAGGCAGAGAACGGCAGCCGCCGCTGCTGCTGTGGCTACTGCTCCGGTGTATCGAACGTATACAATGAAGATAAGTAATTAAATTTTAAAATGTATATTTTATATTATTTATTTGTTTTGTAGTGTAACGGACCGCTGGGGTGTAGTGTGCGGCGTCTCTCGGCTGTTCGTTGCAACACTGCAGCAGCAGCAGCAGCACGAGCGGCAGCAGCAGCAGCCAGCAGCAACAACTGCAGCAGAACAACTGCCGGAAGTCGGGCCTTCGCCTGCATCTGCAGCAGCGACAGCAGCGGCACCCTCTAACAGTGACATAAGCAGTGGAGGTGGCAGCAACAGCAACAGCAGCAGCGCATGCAGCAGCAGCAGCAGCTACACCAGTAACTGCAGCAGAAGCAGCTACATCCGGCGNACAGCAGCAGCGCATGCAGCAGCAGCAGCAGCTACACCAGTAACTGCAGCAGAAGCAGCTACATCCGGCGGGGAACGCTACACTTAGCAGCAGCGCCTCCACATGAGAAGGCTGCAGCGGCAGCTGCTGCATTTCTTCCTTTTGCTGCTGCTGCTGCTGCTCTCTCAACTATCGGCAATGGCCTTCCTTAGGCGACATGCGCTGCAGCAGCTGCCGCTGCAGCAGCAGAAGCTGCAGCACCAGTTGCTGCTGCTGCCTCGAGCACAGAAATTTCCATCTCCCCCAAACGCAGTGTACCCGCTTGCCCTTCGGCAGCAACAGCAGCAGCGGTGTTGGGCGCGCAGCAGCAGCAGCAGCAGCAGCAGCAGCAGTGCCGCCCTTGCCGCCTCTCGAAGGGCACTCTCCACGAGCGTCAGCAGCAACAGCAGCAACAGCAGCAACAGCAGCAGCGACAGCAGCAACAGCCCGTATTGCCATTTGCGTCTGCTCGACAGGGAGACCCGCAGCCTCTTTCCCGAGGCCCTTCCTCTCGCTGCTACCGAGGTGCCTCTGACCACAAGCAGCAGCAGCAACAACAGTAGC